AAAAAAATAAAAAAAAATTATAGTAAAATTCCATCGAATTATACGGGGTGATCCAAAAATGATTCAAAAACTATGGTACGTTGGTAAGAAGGCTCTGACGAACTCGAAAAAAATGGTCAAAAAACCCCTGCACCAAAGTTTTGAAAATATTAAACGTCTTATCGTAGATTCGAAATTTTTGGAAAGAAAATCAAACTTGTAGAATCTTTTTTTCAGTTTTTCGAATTTTCGATTTTTCAACTTTCGATTTCTCAATTTTCCGATATTTCCGTTTTACGATGTTTCCATTTTCACGTTTGCAAATTTTCAATTTTGCGATTTCTGAGTTTCTGGATTAATTGATTTTTTTATTTTCCTATTTCGCGACTTCTCTACTTTTCAATATTTCGATTTTTCAGTTTTTCGGTTTTTCAATTCTTTAATTTTCCAACTTTTCGATTTTCAGTTCTTAGATTTCTCAGTTTTTCTATGTTTCAGTTTTATGATTTTTAAATTTTTCGATTTTTCGCGACTTTTCAAAGTTTCAATTCTTCAGTTTTTCCATTTTTCAACTTTTCGGTGTCTCGATTTCACAGTTTTTCAATGTATCAGTTTTGGGGTTTCTCAGTTTTCGATTCTTCAATTTTTCTTCCGTTTTGCAATTTTTCGTTTTTGGACTATTCGATTTTTCATTATCTCGATTTTTTACTTTTCAGATTTTTCAGTTATTCGATTCTTAAATTTTATATTATTATTTTTTTCAATTTTCTGATGTTTTATGTTTCGTGTTTTTGATTCCTCAGTTTTTCAATTTTTCGATTTTTAAAATTCTTGATTTTTTGGTTTTTCAATTTTTCGGTATTCCAGTGTTGGTATTTTTCAATTTTTCGAATTTTTGACTTCTCGTTTTTAGATTTTTCGGTTTTTCCATCTTTATATTCTAAAAATTTTTGTTTTTTTTATTTTTCAATTTTTCGGTTTATAAATTTTTTGATATTTCAGTGTTGGAATTTTTCGATTTTTCAATTTTTCAATTTCTTGCGTTTCTGAATTTACAATTTTTAGATTTCTCAATTCCTAAATTAATTTATTTCGTTTCCCAATTTCTCGACTTTTCAAAGTTACAATTTTTAAAATTTTTCGACTTCGATTTTTCAACTTTTCGCTTTCCCGATTTTTAAGTTTTTCGATTTCACAATTTTTCGATGTTCATTTTCCAATTTTTCCATTTTTCAGGTTTTCTATGTTTCAGTTTTGAGGTTTTTCAATTTTTCTATTTCTTCTCCATTTTTTAATTTTTCGGTTTTCCAGTGTTGCGATTTTTCAATTTTTCATTTTTTTACGTTTCTAAATTTTCAGTTTTTAGCTTTCTCAATTTCTCGATTAAGTGATTTCGTTTCCCGATTTCGCGACTTTTTAAAGTTTCAATCCTTCATTTTTCAATTTTTTAAATTTTCGATTTTTGTGTTCGATTTTTCAACTTTTCAGTTTCTAGATTTTTCAGTTTTTCGATTTGTCGATTTTTGGACTTTTCGGTTTTTCAATATCTCGATTTTTTAATTTTCGGATTTTCCAGTTTTTCGATTTTTAAAATTGTTCATTTTTTAATTTTTCAATTTTTCGGTTTTTGAATTTTTGGGTATTCCAGTGGTGGTATTTTTCAATTTTTTTTTTTGGATTTCTTGGATACTTTGGATTCTTCGGATTCTTTAGATTCTTGGGATTTTTGGACCTTTGAATTCTTTTGGATCTTTGGATCATTGTATCTTTTGGATCTTTGGATCATTGTATCTTTTGGATCTTTACAATTTTTTTGATTTATTTGGTCATTTTTATTTTTTTGTTTTATGTATGTTCTTATTTTTTGAATTTTTTGGATTTTTGGGATATTTTCGATTTTTTGGATTGTTGGAATTTTTGGATTTCTTGAGTTTCTTGGTTTTCTTAGATTTTTTAATTTCTTGAATTTTTTGGATGCTTCAGTTTTGGAATTTTGCAATTTTTCGATCCTTCAATTTTTCAATTTTCAGTTTTTGGACTTTTTCGATATCTGCAATTTTTACTTTTCGAATTTTTCAATTTTTCCATTTTTTGATGTTTCGAATTTTTGATTTCTCGGTTTTAGGTTTTTCGGTTTTTCAGTTTTTCGATTTTTAAAATTTTCGATGTTTCAGTTTTTTGAGTTCAATGTTCCGATGTTTCAATTCCTCGAATTTTAAATTTTTCGATTTTTCTATATTTTAATTTTCCGATTTTTTAAATTTTAAATTTTTCGATTTGTCGATTTTTCGATTTTTTGAATATTTTCTCTTTTTGGGATTTTTTTGGATACTTTGGATTCTTTGGATTCTTCGGATTCTTTAGATTCTTGGGATTTTTGGATCTTTGAATTCTTTTGGATCTTTACAATTTTTTTTATTCATTTGGTCATTTTTATGTTTGTTTTATTTAGGTTCTTATTTTTTGAATGTTTTGGATTTTTGGGATATTTTCCATTTTTTTGGATTGTTGGAATTTTTGGATTTCTTGAGTTTCTTGGTTTTCTTAGATTTTTTAATTTCTTTAATTTGTTGGATGCTTCAGTTTTGGATTTTTGCAATTTTTCGATCCTTCAATAAATTTATCTTCCATTTTTCAATTTTCAGTTTTTGTACTTTTTCGATATCTCCAATTTTTACTTTTCGAATTTTTCAATTTTTCCATTTTTTGATGTTTCGAATTTTTGATTTCTCGGTTTTAGGTTTTTCGGTTTTTCAGTTTTTCGATTTTTAAAATTTTCGATCTTTCAGTTTTTCGAGTTTTCAATGTTCCGATGTTTCAATTCCCCGAATTTTCAACTTTTCGATTTTTCCATATTTTCATTTTCCGATTTTTTAAATTTTAAATTTTTCGATTTGTCGATTTTTCAAATTTTCGATTTTTTGGATACTTTCTCGTTTTTGGATTTTTTTGGATACTTTGGATTCTTTGAATTCTTCGGATTCTTTAGATTCTTGGGATTTTTGGACCTTTGAATTTTTTTGGATCTTTGTATCATTGAATCTTTTGAATCTTTACAATTTTTTTAATTTATTTGATCATTTTTATTTTTTCTTTTATTTATGTTCTTATTTTTCGAATGTTTTGGATTTTTGGGATATTTTCGACTTTTTGGATTGTTGGAATTTTTGGATTTCTTGAGTTTCTTGGTTTTCTTGGATTTGTTAATTTCTTGAATTTTTTGGATGCTTCAGTTTTGGAATTTTTCAATTTCTCGATAGTTAATTTTTCAATTTCTCGATAGTTAATTTTTCAATTTTTCGATCTTTCCATGGTACAGTTTTTACTTCTTTCCAATTTTTCTTCTTATTAATTTAGTTTCCCGATTTTTAATTTTTTAGTGTTTCAATTTTTGGTTTTTAATTTTTCGATTTTTCAACTTTTCAAATAAAAACTGGAAAAAATGCAAAATTGTAAAATTGAAAAATCAAAAACAAAAAAAGCGAAAAAATATAAAATGAAAACTTTGAAAAATCTAAACATTGGAAATCAAAAACTTGAAAATGGAGAGACGAAAAATTGAAAAATCAAAAGATTAAAAATTGAAAAACCTAAAAATCGAGAAAATGCTAGATCGCAAAAAAGAAAATATGTATTGTAAAATCCAAATATTAAAAATGAAAGAAAACGGAAAAACGGATAATTAAAAATCGAAAATTTGCACAATTGAAAAATTGGAAAATCGAGGAACCGCAAAATCAAAAATTGAAAATTTGAAAAATTGAATAAACGAAACATAAAATCGAAAGAGACTAAAGAGACATTAAAAAATAAAAATCAAGAACTTGAAATATTGAAGAAATGAAAAATCGAAAAATCAAAAATTGAGAACCTGAAAAATCGATAATGAAAAATTGTGACATCGAATGATTGCAAAATTGAAAAGTTGCAAATCGGAAAAATTGAAGAAACGAAAAACTGAAAAATTTGGATGTCAAGAAATTGAAAAATTAAAAAAATTGAAATTAAAAAAAACGCAAAATTATGAAACTGAAACACTGAAAAATGGAAAAATTGAAAAATGAAACACTGAAACATGAAAAACTGTAATTTCAAAAAATTGGTCGAATGTAAATAAAACCAGATTTTTTGAAAAATTGTAAGTTTTGATTTTGTGAATTTTGTTTTTTTTTTTATGATAAGCCTTATATGTAAGTAATTATTTGAAGGGAATCAACTGACGTTAAAGTGGCCTAGAATCCCCATCATATAACTACTCTTCTTCTTAATTTTAATGACAATTTTATTTTAATTATTTTCGTTTTTCCAATTTTAGATTTTTCAATTTTTCGTTTTTCTTCAATTTTTGATTATCAATTTTCCTTTAGAAAAGGACTCTTGTTTCATGTGATTTTTAATTTCTGCTTTAGTTGGCCATGAACGCTTACGTCGGGCGTTTAAATTTCACTGCTGACGTACGTGTCATGGGCAACTAGAGCACAAATTTAAAAAATCACTCTGTATAATGATACGAAATTTACTTGAAACAATTCACTTCGCTGGCTTTTGCCAATCTTGAGACGAACTCTTTAAACTTAACCTAGCAAATTTGAAAGGAATAACAAATAAGGAAAAAAAATGTTCCTCAAAATTTCAAAACGTTTTCTTATTATTAGTGTAATATGAAAAATCATGCGACAAAAATTTCATATCTATAATTTAGTTTTTACTATCTTTTAAAATAAATGAAAACTTTTTCCCATATTTTTAAACCGGTAATATTGTAACAACCACGCAGGAGAGCTCATACTTAGAACAATTAAAAATTCTACACAAATCGTTCGCGTTTTTGTCGCAACATCACTCTCAGAATCAAAATTACGAAAACCGGAAGAACCGGAGCGAAAGAGCAGAAATGACACTTTTTGCATCGATTGTAATCACCGTTAATTGACACACTTTCTACAAAAAAGACCTTCCAGAAAATCTGTCAGTTAACCGCAATCATCGACACTGCTCTCGTAAACCTCGCGTTTTTTCAGTTTTGTTTTTGGTGGTGGAATCATGTCGTCACCTCAGCACCGTCCTGCGGAGCCACCAGACGGGAACGGAGTGAAAAACGGAAGTAGACCAGTCAGTTTTTATGATAATTGTATGGAAAACGGAAATAATATGTCGGACGATGGTCTGGCCAAGGAAGCGAGCCTTGATGTCACCCCAACGCAGGCACATTGTTTGGTGACCACCGTACCGCAGAACATGGTAGCGCAAAATATGGGCACGAAACATACGCCAAACAGGAACAGTTTGAGGCACAGCCGAATGATTGCCATGAATAAAACCGGACGAGGTAATAAAAGAGATAATGGGAATTTTGACAAGTTCGTAGACGAAAAAGACAGATAGTTGGGTGCATTTTTTCAGTGAGCGGCTGAGGGGATTTTAGCTAAATTGGCGTTACCGTGAAAACAAAAAAGAACGTTTTGAGAAGATTTGCTACCACGAGTATTGAAGTGATACGTACTCTTGTGAGCAAATTTTGTCTAATGTACATACATATATGGTTTATGTTTTTTTGGTTATATAGTTTTATAGTGTGCCGCATCTTAAAAGGGATGACATGGAATTGTTTGTTTACAGTACCTTGACGCCAAATATTACATGCGGGTGACGCAACACAACCATAAATTATTTTTTTATTTTGAATAAAGTTTAATTATGTTGATAGTGACAGTTTTGCAAATTTCTGAAAATAATTATTATGAAGGTTACGTTTATAAATTATTTTTTTCTGGGGCTTATGAATGGAAAGTCTAAATCTGAGTCACCCGGTATACTCCACATTTAAAGTTATTTTAAGATTATTCTAAAAAAGCTGAGTCATGAAATTAAAACAACTGAATGATAATAAATTTTACAAAACTGACGATAAATACTTCTCGGATTACTTTGGGAAGGAAAAAATCATGACAAAGTTCTTTTTCCGCCAGACCTCCTTACTCAACCAACAGTGAATAAACTTTCATTTGGAGTTATCTTAACCATATACATTATAAGGTTAAGTAACCTAAGCGATAATAGCGTAGTTGTTGGTTTTTGTCAAGGTCATGGTTTTGTAATATGACGATGTGTATTGTTTCTTCCCCTTTTTTGTGTATTTTCAACATTTACGCATTGTTTGGCATGCGACTTGCTGTCAAATAGTCTAATTGGAAGAAAAACTTGTTATTAAAAAATCGTCTAATGAAAATTTTGAAACGCGTTGCGTGTAGGTGACAAAAGATTTTTCTAAAGAAATCTAAAGACACGAATAGAATCACAGTTACATAGTTAGAATCAATACTATTACTATCGTTAAAAATCTAAGACAAAACTTCGAGTAAACTCTAAAATATGATGCGATAAATAGCAGAAAAGTGAAAATTGAAAAATATGAAAATTCGAGGAAAAATCGACTTACAACGAAATTTAAAAAAATAAAAATCGTAACACTAATGGATGCGGAACGATAAGAGATTTTCCGAATTAAGTTGATGAAACTTTATCCGTTCATCTTACAATTTTCTCGAATGTTAATTAAATGTTACAAGGTAACATAGTCTTAAACTTGTAGTGTGTAATTCACTGTTGAATTTTTATCCTAGACATCAAAATTTTTGAAAAAAAAAAAAAATCAAAATTTCTTCATTTTTCGAATTTTCAATTTTACGGCTTTTTGATTTCCCAATTTTTCAACTTTCGAATTCTCAATTTTTCGATATTTCAGTTTTGGGATTTTCCAGTTTTTTTATTCTTCAATTTCTGGATTTTTCAGTTCTTCAGTGCCTCGATTTTCAATTTTTTAATTGTTTAACTTTTCGATATGAAATGTTGGGATTTTTAAATTTTTGATTTTTCACTTGTTGACGTTTCTAAATTTTCGGTTTTTAGATGTTTCAGTTTTGGGATTTTCAAATTGTTCGATTTTTCAATTTTTCTTGCATTCTTTAATTTTTCAGTATATCAGTTTTGGGATTTTTCGATATTTCTATTCTTCAATTTTTGGACTTTTTGATTTTTGCATTTATTAATTTTTCGTTTTTTAAATTTGAAATTTATCAATTTTTCGATTTTTCAGGTTTTTGATTTTTCAATTTTCCATTTTTCGACATTGATTTTTCGATGTTTCAGTTTTGGAATTTTTCAAATTGTCGATTTCTCGATTTATTAATTTTTCGCTTTTAAATTTGAGATTTATTAATTTTTTTAATTTTTGATGTTTCGTTTTTCGTTTTCTCAATATTCCGATGTTTCAGTTTTCAATTTTACGACTCTTTAATTTTTCGATTTTTCAATTTTTGACGTTTCGAAATTTTCAATTTTTAGGTTCTTCAATTTCTTGTAATTGATTTTTTGATTTTGTCAATTTCCGAGCTTTCGACTTTTCAATGATTCGATTTTTCAATTTTCTTTTCTTCAATTTTTCAGGTTTTTCGATTCTTCAATTTTTGGATTTTTCAGGTTTTTTGATTTTTCAATTTTCCATTTTTCGACATCGATTTCTCGATTTATTTAAAATTTTCGATGTTTCAGTTTTGGAATTTTTAATTTTTCTATTTTTCTTGCATTACCTATTTAATGTTTCAATATGTCAGTTTTGGGATTTTTTCAATATTTCGATTCCTCAATTTTAGAATTTTCGATTTCTCGGTTTATTCTATTTTCGTTTTTTAAATGTGAGATTTATCGATTTCTCAATTTTTCGATGTTTCAGTTTTCAATTTTTCGATACTCAATTTCTCGTTAATCGATTTTTTCGATTTCTCCATTTCCCGAGATCTCAACTTTTCAGTGTTTTGAGTTTTCAGTTTTTCTATTCTTCAAGTTTTCGATTTTTCGCGTTTTTGAGTTTTCAATTGTTTTGAGTTTGTAAGTTTTCGATTTTTCTACTTCAATTTCTCGATTTATTTCAATTTTTCGTTATTTCAGTGTAAGAATTTTTCAGTTTTTCGAAACTTCAAAATTTCGATTTTTCAATTTTTTGATGTTTCAGTCTTCAATTTTTCGCCTCTTTAATTTTTCGATTCCTCAATTTTTCGTTAATCAACTTTTTAATTTTCCATTTCCCGAGATTCAACTTTTCATTATTTCGATTTTTCAGTTTTTCTATTCTTCAATTTTTGTGGTTTTTCATGTTTTCAATTTTTCAATTTTCCATTTTTCGATTTCGATTTGTCGATTTATTGCAATTTTCGATGTTTCAGTTTTGGGATTTTTCAATTTTTCGATTTTTCAATTTTTCTTGCATTGTTTTAATTTTTCAATGTCAGTTTTGGAATTTTCAGTATTTCGATTCTTCGATTTTTCAACTTTTCGATTCCTCGATTTATTATTTTCTCGTTTTTTAAATTTGACATTTATCAATTTTTCGAATTTTTGATGTTTGGTTTTTAGATTTCTCAATTTTTCGAGATTTCAGTTTTCTATTTTTCAAGTTTTGACTTTTCTAAATTTTCAATTTGTCGATTCTTCTATTTCTCCAGTAATCAATTTTTTGATTTTCCCATTTTCTGATTTCTCGACTTTTCAATGTTTCGAGTTTTCTTGAATTTTTCGATTCTTCAATTTTTGGATTTTTCAATTTTTCGGGTTTTTGATTCTTCAATTTTTTGATTTTCCAAATTTTCGATTTTTCGATTTATTTCAATATTTCAGTGTTGGAATTTTTCAATTTTGCCAATTTTCACATTTTCGATTTCCCGATTTTTTCGTTTTGAATTCTCAATTTTTCGACTATTTAATTTTTAGATTTTGCAATTTTTCAATTTTTGACGTTTCTAAATTTTCAATTTTTTGATTCTTCAATTTCTCGGTTAATCGATTTTTTATTTTCCCATTTCCCGATCTCTCGAGTTTTCAGTTCTTCTATTCTTCAATTTTTCGATTTTTCAGGTTTTTCGATTCTTCAATTTTTCGATTTTTCAGGTTTTTGCTTTTGTAATTTTTCGATTTTTCGACTTCGATCTCTCGATTTATTTCAATATTTCAGTGTTGGCATTTTTCGATTTTTCGATTCTTTCATTTTTCGATTTTTCAATTTTTGACGTTCCTAAATTTTCATATTTTTGATTCCTCAATTTCTTGTTAATCGATTTTTTGATTCTGGCATTTTCCGAGATCTCGACTTTCCAATGTTTCGATTTTTCAGTTTTTCTGTTCTTCAATTTTCCAATCTTTCAAGTTTTTCAATACTTTCAATTTGAATTTTTCCATTTTCCGATTTTTCAATTTTGGTTTTTAGATGTTTCAGTTTTGGGATTTTTCAATTTTTCGATTTTTTAATTTTCTTGCATTCTTTAATTTTTCAGTATATCAGTTTTGGGATTTTTCGATATTTCGATTCTTCCAATTTTTTGACTTTTCGATGTCTCGATCTATTGATTTTTACTTTTTTAAATTTGAGATTTATCAATTTTTGAGTTTTTGACGTTTCTAAATTTTCAATTAAAAAATTCCTCAATTTTTCATTAATCAATTTTTTGAGTTCCCGATTTCCCGAGATCTCGACTTTTCAATGTTAGATTTGTCAGTTTCTCTATTATTCAGACCTTCAATTTTTCAGGTTTTTCTATTCTTCGATTTTTGGATTTTTCAATTTTTCGATTTTGTAATTTTTGAAATTTTCGCGATGTATTTTAATTTCTCGATTTCTCGATATTTTTCATTTTCGATTTCCCAATTTTTCGATGTTTCAATTTTACAAATTTGCGGCTCTATAATTTTTCGATTTTTAATTGTTTGATTTTTAAATTTTTGACCTCAAATTTTCAATTTTTCGATTCCTCAATTACTCGTTAATCGATTTTTTTTTATTTTTCCATTTCCGAGATCTCGACTTTTCAATGTTTCCAATTTTCAGTTTTTGTGTTCTTCAGTTTTTCGATTTTTCAGATTTTTGGACTTTTCAGTTTTCGATTTTTCCACTTGGATTTCTCGATTTATTTCAATTTTTCGATGTTTCGTAGTTGGTATTTTAAATGTGTCGATTTTTCTATTTTCTTGCACTATTTAATTTTTCAGTGTCCGCTCTAGGATTTTTTTAATATTTCTCTATTTTTTACTTTTTCGATATTATAATTTTTAAATTTTTAAAACTTTAAATGTTTCGATTACTGGATTTTTCGATTTTCCAGCTCATTGATATTTCTATTTTTCAATTCTTCGAGTTTTAAATTTTTGATTTTTCAATTTTTGATGTTTCGGTTTCTCCATCTTTCGATTTTTCGACGTCGCGGTTTTAAAATTTTTCGGTTTATCGATTTTTTTCATTTTAAATTGTTCAATTTTTCAAAATTTAGATGTTTTGATGTT